TAATGATTCTAGGGAGGAGAGGAGCACATCAAACATCATGTGATATCATTACTTAGCCAGTCAGCTGAAGAGGCATGATAAAATCTGAAAGCTCTCAAGGCCAGATTCAAACAAGCCATGGCGTTTCAGATTAAGGTTACACCAGGCACCATGCTAACTCTGTACAGCATGGGGGAGCGCAACAGTCAGCAGGAATTGCAGAGGCTGGTTTTCAGTCTTAAATCAGCATCTGACAGGCCATCTGAGCCCAGAGAAGTTGCCTTGCTTCTCTGAGCCTCAGATTCCTCAGCTGTAAAATGGGGTCACTCATACCTACTGTGTTGATCCATTTTGCATTCTATAAAGAAACACTTCAGACTGGGTAATTTACAAAGAAAAGAGATTTATTTGGCTCACAGTTCTGTAGGCTGCGCAAGCATGGCTCCAGCATCTGCTGGGCTTCTGGTGAGGCCTCAGGGAGTTTTGCTCATGGCAGAAAGTGATTTGGGAGCAGATGTGTCACAGGGCATGAGAGGGAGCAACAGAGAGAGAGGAGGAGGTGCCAGGCTTTTAAACAACCAGCTCTTCCATGAACTAACAGGGTAAGAACTCACTCATTGCTAAGAGTAGGGCACCATTTTCCATGAACCAAACACATCCCACCAGGCCCTACCTACAATGCTGAGGATTCCAACTTGAGATTTGGAGGGGACAAATATCCAAACTGTATTACCGACCAATTCCACAGGGCTAACATGAAGATGGGATGAAATGATGGGTGTAAAAGTCATTTGTATGTGTGAAGAGTCATGCCAATGTTGTTATTAAAATAAGTAGAATGCTGGGCGTGGTGGCTCTTGCCTGTAATCCCAGCATTTTGGGAGGCCGAGGTGGGTGGATCTCTTGAGATCAGGAGTTTGAGACCAGCCTGGCAAACATGATGAAACCCTGTCTCTACTAAAATTACAAAAATGAGCCAGACATGGTGGCCTGCACCTGTAATCACAGCTACTCAAGAGGCTGAGGCATGAGGATCACTTGAACCCGGGAGGCAGAAGTTTCAGTGAGCTGAGATCATGCCGCTGACTCCACCCTGGGTGACAGAATGAGACTCCATCTCAAAAATAAATTAATTAAATAAAAAATAAATAAAATAAGTGGAAAGCAGCCCAGTGCAGTGGCTCATGCTTGTAATCCCAGGACTTTGGGAGGCGAAGACGGGCAGAGCACCTGAGGTCAGGAGTTTGAGGCCAGCCTAGCCAACATGGCGAAACTCCTGCTCTACTAATAATACAATATTAACTGGCCGTGATGGCAGGTGCCTGTAATCCCAGCTACTCCGGCGGCTGAGCCAGAAGAATT